AGCCCTAGGTCAAATGCTGCTCTGGTCCCACCTGACGAAGCTTAAAAGCAAGACTTGAAAGGATCAAACTGTTTCCAGATAACTTATCCCAGAAAATTCAAGAATATTTATAGGAATACAAAAATATCCTGCATCCAACAGGGCAAAATTCACATCAGTCACCAATTAAAAATTACCAGACATGTAAAGAAGAACTACTATTTCACTATTTTAAAAATCATTTTCTTGGGGTTTTACTGAATCTTAAATTTTCCTTAAAAACAAACAAACAACCTGTCATTTTTATCATTTGCACTCTGTGTTAATCTCAAAATCCCTGATCTACATAACTGAAATGCTATTCTGTATATGAAATGTTAACACTTCAGAGGCAAACAGCATAGTGGTTAAAAGCACAACATTTAGAGGCAGTTAAACCAGGCTCTGAATAAATTCTTTATTCTTAACTTATCCCAGTGTTCCTGGGCAAGCCATCACACCTGAGTGTTAGTTTATCTATCTATAAAATGGTATGATATTTGCTCCATAGGACTTCTGTCAGAAATAAATCAAAGTAAACACCTTAATAAATAGTAACTATCATGCCATAATTATCACATTATCATAAGAAAAGTTTAGAAAAGTTAGTACACACTCAAACATTCACTGAGGAACAAGCAATCATCTGCTACATATTAAGTATTAATATGCAGGCACTAAGAATACAATGAAGAAAAGGACACTGTTGAGAGGACCTGAAGTATATCTTATGTTGAATCTGCATTTAGAAGTTCACCTCCTTCATATTCTATTTCTTAATTTCTAAGTAGGGCAATTATTTTAAGTTCCTCCTATAAAAATTAAAGGTTGATTTTTTTCCCTTTGAAAGGAAAAAATAAGAAATTGTCAGGTTCAACCAATTAGGGCATGTCTAAGAAATCCTGGAATCTGAAAAACATGGTAAAACTTTAACTTAAGAGCAACCTACAATTTAACATCACCTTTCAAAATTATTCTCAAATTAGTAAGCTAAATTATATTCAGATATAAAATACACAAAATGGACCAATCTGTTATTATGATAATCTCTTCAGAAAGGCTTGGGCGAACAGATGTAAGGAATTAAAACTAAGTTCAAGTTTGTATTTCATTCGCTCATTCCACTTAAATGACAGATGGCTTAAATATTAACCCTATTAACAAGACATTTGCATATTCATTATGAATCTGATTGCCTTACTTCATAACTCCATGAATTCATTTTATTAATTTTACTATATGGCTGCCCATTTCATGCCGGTCTTCTAAACCCTTGCCTCTCCAAGTGTGGTCCTAGAACCAGCAGCATCAGCATCACCTGGGAACTTGCTGGAACTACAGAATTTTATTCCTCATACTAGACCTACTGAGTCAGAATTTGCATTAAAAAAGAATCCCCATGTGATTTCTGTGCACAATGAAGTCTGAGTAGCATAGTTCTAAATGTTTATTTTTTTCACACTTTTTTTTACAGTATTATAAAAAGCTTATTTGCTTCCAAACTGTTGATTAACTTGTCTCCAGAGAGTTACTTTTCATAATAATTCAATTCAGACAAATAAATCAAACAGATATACATATATTAGATGTTCTGTATACAATATTTGTCTCAGATTTGACCTCCCCTCTCAACCAGGATTTCAAGTCTTTTTTTTTTTTTTTTTTTTAAAGATTTTATTTATTTATTTGACAGAGAGAGAGATCACAAGTAGACGGAGAGGCAGGCAGAGAGAGAGAGAGAGAGAGGGAAGCAGGCTCGCTGCTGAGCAGAGAGCCCGATGCGGGACTCGATCCCAGGACCCTGAGATC